TGTAGGGAACTAGGAAATTCAGGAAAGTTACATTAAAGAATACAAATCACTCAAAACCCCAACATCAAGAGCTAGAAAGAGATAAGATGATCTTAAAAAGATGGACTTTGGCTTTAGATATATCTAGATTTGAGTTAGCCACTTGTTAAATAACCGCCCATGGATTTAGTCTTCCTGAGCCTCAGTTTCTTCATTTACAAAATGGAGATAATAATACCTATCACATAAGAGTCAGGTAAAATAACATGTAAACTGTTAAGCCCAGGGCCTCAGATATAAAAATGGATTAAAAAATTTATTTTATTATTATTATTATCTCTATTAACACATTGGTGTATTTTACTCCTTTTGCGCATACTGTTTTACACAGTTGGATGATAATATACACACAATTTAGCATCCAATTTTTTCACTTAGCATTATATCATTAATATTTTCTCATATAACTATTTTTTAAAAACTATTTTGATGTTCGTATAATGGTTATTAATCATTTCCCCTTTTGGGGGTGTTTTGGCAGTTTCTGGTTATTCACTATTTAAAAGAACCTTGCCTTGAACATATTTGTGCCATTACTTATGTTTCCTCTTTATCTTAAATCTCTGGTTTTGTGACAAGTCTTCACTATCAGACCAGAAATTCATTGAGGGCACAGTCTATGTCTCCACCATCAGAATGAGAGCTTCCTGGAGCAGGGGCTGCATCTCCTCCCATCAGGAAAAGGACTTAGGCTGGGGCCAAAGTCTTAGGGGCTGGTGGACACCCTTTGTTTAGCCTGCCCAGCTTAGCTTCCCTGGCCTCTGAGAGTAGCCTCTCCTGCTTCCTGAGATTCTGGTGGAACAGCCAATCATAGGACATGCAAACCCTAGATAAAGATCAAGCTGGGGACTCTGAATTAGTGGTAGATTGACATGGGGAAAAAATGTTGTTGCATAGTCAGGTCATGACAACATTCTCAAGAAACCATCCATGAACTCCTGCTACTGGGAGCTTCAGACTTAAGATTGACCGCCCTGTTCTTTCTTCAGTTCTGTGACCTACTTGGTATCCTTCTATTTCCTTCCCTTTTGTTTTCATTAACCAGAGTAAGTTTTGACCAAAGGGCCTTAACTGATCCAAATATTGCACCAGAAAGGAGGTTTCAGGCCCAGGCTTCAGGCAAAAGGCTCTGAAATTCCTATTTATGTTCAGAATTGGGAAAACAGCTTCCCATGGTACACAGAAGAGAAACAGCTAATCAAATTATCAGCTGCAAATACCAGGGATCATGAGAGTCATGTTCTGGAGAACTGAGTGGACCTGGCCATAGACAGATTTACAGGGAATGAAGAAACCAGAAACGCAGAATGAGATGGCTGCTTATAATGGCATTGTTCAAATCTAGATTGTTGACTTAAGGAATAAAATCAACTTCGAGACCTTCCTGTGATATGGCTCAAAGAATCTGTTAAGGCTAGTTGCTATAGGGCATAGGGCCATTAAAATAAGATTCAGAGAGTGTTAGAATACTGAACTTCAAGGCCTCAAACCATTCCATGTTCTGAATGGTTAGACCGGGTCACCTCAGGAACTGGTGGAATCCTCACCTTGGCCCCTGACCATTGAACTAAAAGGTTAATATACCAAGAAGAGCTAAGCCAAAGCCCCTGGTGTTCCCTCTCACTATCCAAATAATAAATAAAAAATAGCATTATGTCCCTAGGGAGGCTTTAGAAATTAGTCACTATCAATGACTCAAAAGATGCAGGGGTGGTGACTCCTGTCTCTAGTGAACATTTGTCACATTTTTGTTTGTTTTGGGTTTTGGCTGACCAGCATCCTAACCACTTTTCTATGTGAGGGTGATACCCTGCTGTGTGAGTCCCGGGGGGAGGGTGGGCCCCTTCTCTCCCTGTGGAAACCCCTTCCTCTGCCTGCTCTAGAGAGAGTTCTGATGATGTGCTGGCACCCATTAACAGTGGACTTCTGTGGTGTGACATCTCCCACTCGGGATAGCCCTGAGGAAAGCAGGAAGGAACATCTTTGTGGAAGGTAGAATTGAAAGTGCTATAACCATCTGTCCCCCAGATACCAACATCACAACCCCCAGAACCTATAAGTGTTACCTTATTTAGAAAAGGGTTCTTTGCAAATGATTTTGGGATAAAGTGATCCTACCAGATTATCTGGGTGGGTCCTAAATACAATGACAGCTGTCCTTCTAAGAGACATACAAAGGAGAAGACAAAGAAGAAAAGGTGATATGACCACAGAGGCAGAAACCAGAATGATGTGGCCAAATAGAAGGAAGCTGGTGCTACCAGAAGCTTGAAGGGGCATGAAAGGATTCTCCTCCAGAGACTCTGTAAGGGAGTGAAGCCCTGCTGACACCTTGACTTCGACTTCTGGCCTCTAGAATTACAAGAGAACAAAATTCTGTTGTTTCAAGCCACCAAGTTTTATGGTAATTTGTAGTAGCCTCAGGAAATATACCACCTCATTTGTAAGGAGAGAGGGCCTCAGGTACAGATGGACACATTGTGGGCAGCAGCTAACAGACCAGCCAGATCATTGTCACCTTGGATAGAGCAAGTGAAGGGTTAAGTAAAAGTTTAGGGAAAGGATGGGTGATGGAGCCCTCAGAATAGGGGCAAAACCAGGGAGTATTTGAGCCCTCTAACAACATTCTCCAGAGGCCTGCCACTACAAAGGCTTTTAACATCAGTTAGACAGGACAATTCATTCTGCAAATGCTAGCCAGCCTCCTTATTCAGCACCTGATCCCACACTGGCTCAGACTCATAACAAGGTGTCCGTGGAGGAACAGATGGAGACAGTAGATGGATCTTCCATTAAGGCCAACACAGCCAGTCACGACTGGATCCAAACAACCTCGACAAACTTTAAACCCCCTGGTATATCATCTATAACTCAAAACCCAATAATAAGAAAACAACTCAATTAAAGATTGACTGGCAAAAAAAAAAAAAATCAAGCAAACACTCATCAGAGAAGATATATGGGTGGTAATTAAGCACACTAAAAATATTCATAATCATTAGGCAGTAGAATGACACACCTATTAGAAAGGTTAAATTACAAATCAAAACCACAAAAAGATACTACCTTACACCTATTAGAATGGCTGTTATCAACAAAACAAGTAACAAGTGTTGGAAAGGTTATGGGGAAAAAGGAACCCTCATATACTGCTGGTGGGAATGTAAATTGGCACAGCCACTATGGAAAACAATATTGAGGTTCTTCAAAAAATGAAGAATAGAATTATCATATGATCCGGCAATCCTTCTTCTGGGTATCTATCAAAAAAACTTAAAAACAGTTACCATATAGATATATGCGCACCTATGTTCATTGCAGCATTATTCATGGTGGCCAAGACATGAAAACAACCAAAGTATCCTTCGATAGACGACTGGATAAAGAAGATGTGGTTCACATATACAGTGGAACATTACTCAGTCATAGAAAAGATGAAATACTGCCATTAGAGACAACATAGATGGATCTTGAGATTATCATGCTAAGTGAAATAAATCAGACAGAAAAAGTTGAGAAACATGATTTCACTCATATGTGGCATAAAAAAACTGCAAGCAACAAATGAACAAGACAACAAACAAAAACTCGTAGACACAGACACAGTTTATTGGTTACCAGAGGAAAAGCAGGGAGGTGGAGATAGATAAGGGTAAAGGGGATCAAATTTATGGTGATAGAAAGAGATTTGATTCTGGGTGGTGAACACACTATGCAATATACAGATGATGTATTATAGAATTGTACTCTTGAAACCTATATAATTTTATTAACCAATGTCACCCCAATAAACTTAATCTAAAAAAGGGCTAAATTAAAAACAAAACACCTGACAATGCCAGGTCCTGGCAAGGATGTCTAGCCACTAGAATCTTTACATTGCTGGTGGGAATGCACATCGATTCAGCCACTTTGGAAAGCAGTTTGATACCTCTTAGAAATTGAAACAAACATTTGCCATGAGACTCAGCCTTCTCACTCCTCTACACAGTGCAGATCATGGGTAGGGGGTTGGAGGACACAAGCTAAGTCAACCTGAGTCTCTTAATAGGGAATTTGAATCTTGAGTGGATTTCCTGTCTGCTCCCTGCTATGACTCCAGGGTTATTGTACATCTGACCTTGATCCAGAGCTCTGAGCTCCTTCCTAGAACTGAGATGTCTGTTTGTGGCTTAAACAAAGGGGATGTATTACAGGGACACAAGGCCCCACAGGGGCAGAAATTAAGCCCACCATGGGAAGGGTGTGTGTGTGTGTGTGTGTCTGTAACTAGGACCTGGAAATCCATCAGGAAGTCAGGGTATCACTGCCACTGCTTCTTCCTAAATGAGAAATCCATTCTCCCTTCCCTCTGCAGACCAGCTTTCTCCATTTCTTCATCAACACATCAGAAAACCACCTTTGTGGGCTTCCCCAGGTCCATGTTTCAGACCAGCTGGAAGGTAAACTGTTGGGCACAAGTCTATATCCCAGGAAAAGGGCTTGGGTGTCCATCCCTTGTCCAGCCTGTTGTGGTAGGGAACAAAGACAGGCTCATTTACTAGCATGGCTGCCAGGGGCCCACCCTCGTGTGTCTCGGGCAGATCTTGGGGAATGTAGACTGGGAGACACCCAAGAAGAGTAGGCTACATTTCTAGGTCTATATAGCCACTGTGCCCCAACCCCACTCAGCAGGCATGACATCACTCCAACCCATACAATCCCAGGTGGTAAAACTTGACCAGGGAGAATTTTATGTTTTGTTTGTTTTTTAATTGAGGTGCGATATCTACATTACATACGGTAAAATACTCAAATCTTAAGCGCACTGCTAGGTAGTTTTACGTCTGTGTTTTCGGCACACCAGATCAAGATTTAGAACAATTCTAATGCTCCAGAAGGCTCCCTTATGCCCGCTCCCAGTCCATATCCCTCCCAGAGGAAACCCTGCAGACTTTTGTCACCATAGTTTTGCCTCTTCTCGAACTTCATGTAAATAGAATCACAGTCTGTATTCTTTTGTCCTATGGCTTTTCTCACTCCACATTATGCCTGTGAGTATAACTCATATGACTGCATGTGGGAACCAGAACACAGTTCTTTTTTGAGAGGGAAAACCCAAAACAAAACACTCTTTAGATTTGGAGAGGGGTAGTTAAACTTTATGAGGTTTTTGTAGAAAAAGTACTTAATTCTTGCTTATATTTTGGAAACACAAACATTGCCAAAGTTCTCTTTGCTGTACTCTTCATTTGTAATGGAAAAAACTCCATTATTTCTCCTTTGGAAAGTCAGCAGTGATCAGCTGGAGACAGGACTGATGTGTTTTCACCGATTCACTAACAGCTCCTCGTTTCCTTCCCCAGACTCCTAGTTTTAACTTGCGAGGAGGAAACCATAATCACCTGTGGCTCAGCTCACAGGTGTATTGGAGTGAAAGGGGACAGAGAGAGCAGGAGGGGCCAGAATGAGGCCATGTGAGAAAAGAGGTTTTAAACACTGAATTCCATAAAAATAAGAAGGGACAGTGTTCCTTTAATCATTGGTATTTTCATGTCTCTGGAATAGGATGGGTTCTTCTGATTTTGAGGGTCTCCTGGCTAGTTCCTCCAGCTGCTCCCTTGTATTCCACCCTCCAGTGGTGTAAGGAGAAAGAAATGGGGAAGCATTATTCGGGCTGAGCACCTACTACATGCCAGGCCCTTCCACAGGGGTTCCACATACATTGTCTTATTTGATCCTGACCTAATGAAGGAGCCCTTATCCTCCTTGGGTAGATGAGGAAACTGAGGCTCAGGGAGCTTACAAATTTACATGATTTGTCTAAGGTCATGTAGCTAATCAGTATCGAGTTTTGAAGCCAAGTCTGTCTGGATCAAAGCTGTGCTAGAGGCAACCCAATCAAGTACCTCCACAGTGGAGCTGTCTTCCACCTTCTGGGCTGGAGGAGGGATCCCTGGCTGCAATGATCAGTCCTGCTGGGAAGGCTGCTCTAGTCCCACACCTGAGCACACTCAAGCAGCTGCACCCTTCCCAGCCTCCAGCCCCTGGGCCATCTGAAACTCACAGACCTCCTCCCACTCACACATGGCCTTGGGTAGGGGACAGAGTGAGTCTTAAGTGCTGGAATTGCAGATATTAAGTGAAATGGAAAGAAAACCGGAGAGAATCATTTGAGAAGGACTTCCTAAAGGCCCCTGAAATCACTCCTAGAGGCAGCCCCCTGGTGTGAGAGCAGGAGGAGGTACACCCAGAGCGGGAACACACATCCTCTGGCCAGGGAGGTGCAGAGCTGGTCAGCCCCAGGGACCTGGGCCTGTCCTAAAATACCCAAGGGGGCCTAGGAAAGTTGAGGAGTGGGGAGGCTGGGACCCTCCTCACCTGAGCTTGATGCTGTCCGATATCTGGGTTTGGGTGAGGCAAGAGAGGTACCTAAAGTAAAAACTTGAGGTGCTTACGCCCTAGATAATTCTCCTGCCTCAGCCTAGTTCCAGCCCTGCCAAGGAGTTCAGGGCACTAGAAGTGAATAACAGCAACAATAATAGTAGCTAACACTTACTTACTGCTTACATGTGCCAAGCCCTGTTCTAAGATCTATCTATTAATAGGTACAATATTATCTTAATTCAATATTATGTTAACTCTTACAACTCTTGAAATTATCCTCAGTTGACAGATAAGGAGACCGAGATCCCCAAACAGGTAACTCTCCCAGTTAATTACTTGTACCGGTAAAAGTGTTCCAGAGTCCACACTCTTAACCATGATGCACATCACCACCCCACACAAAGTACCAGGTGCCCAGCTGCCGCCCATTTACCTTATCAGGACCCTCCCCCCACCGCAGCAGCTTGGCTAGGGCTGGGCATCTGCTCAGGCAGGCTCTGCAAGATGGGAAAGGTAGGTCACATGTGGACAGGGCCCCTTTTATATCCTCACCACCCCAACTGGCCCTGTCTTCTGCCACCTGGCCTGCTGACGGCTACCTGCACCAGCTGTGCCCATTCGTCATGGAGAAGATCCTTGTCCTTTTGCTCCCCCCCGCAGCAGCTTGGCTAGGGCTGGGCATCTGCTCAGGCAGGCTCTGCAAGATGGGAAAGGTAGGTCACATGTGGACAGGGCCCCTTTTATATCCTCGCCACCCCAACTGGCCCTGTCTTCTGCCACCTGGCCTGCTGACGGCTACCTGCACCAGCTGTGCCCATTCGTCATGGAGAAGATCCTTGTCCTTTTGCTCGTCACCCTTGCAGTGGCTCACGCAGTTCCTGATCCCCGAGGAATTATTATCAACCTGGTAAGAGGGTCTTCAGGGGAGTCAATTGAACCCCCAGGTGGGAATTTTTAAAGCTTGGTTCTTGACCTCTGATGTCTCCACCTGGGTCCACCCGGGGGCTGAAAGGTGAGGCATCTCTTCCTTTACTGCCCATGCCCTTTCCTGCACCTCTTCCACAAGGGTCCCCGGAATGGTCGATGAGCATGACGCATGCTCAGAGCAATGATTCAACCTGGCTGAGGGAGCTTTTAAAAAGCCAGAGCCCTAGGCATCCACCCTGGAAACCCTGGCTCAGACAGTTCAGCTCCCCTAGTGATTCTGGCTTCTGACCTAGGACACACACTTCCTGTGTGCCAGACATAATTCTAAATGCCTCAAGAATATTTACTCATTAGTCCTCATACTAAGCACGTGAGACAGGTACTATTATTATCAACCTTGTTTTAGATGCAAAGCTGTCAGTAGAGGAAGGTTAAGCAACCTGCCTGAGATCGCACAGCTGGAAAGTATTGAGAGGTGATGGAACCCAGACCGGAGGCTTCAGAGCCATGCTCTCCCCATTGCCACACACCACCTCTCCACACAGAGCAGAAGTGGGAAAGCCCATTGGGGCCACCTGCCCCATCCAGGGGTCGTTAACTCGGGACCTTGCACAGGCTCGGGGGTCAGAATCCCCCTGAGATTGTGTGTAAAAGTCTGGAGGTGGGGATGAGGTAGTTTTCCAGAGAGATGGTCCTTGATTTTCACAGGCTTCTCAAGGAGTGTGGAGATCCTGTTTGGGGGCCAAATGTGCACATTCCATGCATGGGAACTCTGAGACAGAGGGTAGGGCAGAGATTTCCCCAGAGTCACCCAAGATGTTAATTGGTAGTGCAGCTGGTACTAGAACCCAGGTGTCCTGCCCCCAGCCCAGAGCTGCTTTTCTGGCACCAAATTGCACATTTCTCAAGCGAGTGGGGCTGAGCGTGGGCAGAGAGGCCACCAGGACCCTGAAGTTGGATTCCTTCACACACACGCACCCATACCCATCAGGGAAGGCACTGTCAGTGGTAGTGGGTAGGGGTCTGGGTGGAGAAGGGACCAAGGAGAGGAAGTCCTGGGCTGACTGGTTGCCCATGGCAGGATGAGGGCGAGCTCTGCCTGAACAGCATCCAGTGCAAGAGCAGGTGCTGCCACCGTACAAGCGGGCTGAGCCTGGCCCGCTGCGCACCCGAGGCCAGCGAGAGCAGCGAGTGCTCTGCCAAGGTGAGTGCCGGAGGACTGGGGGTGGTGGTGCTGGGAGGCGAGAGGGACAGTCCAAAGGAGAAGGGCCCACGAGGCTTAAGGATGGGATCAGGGAGCAGGGTCATCCTGGACCTCAAATGTTGAAGAGAGGAAGAGACAGAGGTCAACAGGCTTCAAAGCACTTTTCCATCCAATGGTCTCTCTAGACCCTCACAACTAACTAGTGAGAAGGGTGGGAGCAAGGATTTGCTATCCCCATTTCATGGATGGGTAAATAGAGGGCCCCTCCCCCAGAGAGATCCAGTTAATATCAGCATGTGAGCCAGAGTGGAAATCAGAACCTGGGTCCTTCAGGCCCACAGCAGCCCCTAGGGAAGCAGTCAGAGAAACACAAACTGAAAAGACAGACTGGCCTGTTGTTTCTTGGGGTCAGGCAGGCGGCATTTGATACCCAAAGTAGCCCCCCATAGCCTGTGACTCCCCTGGCTCCATGTCTCTGCAGACACTCTATGGGGTTTACTACAAGTGTCCCTGTGAGCGGGGCCTGACCTGCGAGGCGGACAAGTCTGTTTTGGGCTTCATCACCAACACCAACTTTGGCATCTGCCAAGATGCTAACAGAAAATGAAACTACCCACCCAGCCTGCCCCTAGCCCAGCACGCAGAAGGATGCGCCTCATCCACCACCTCTCCCTGGCTGTCCACTCCCTTGACCAGCACCGTCGTTTTCTGATTGGGTTCTTGGTAATTAAAGTCCCTCCTGCAAACTTTCCCTAAGCTCCTGGATGTTCTTGCTGAGTGTGCGTCTTCCTTGATGTTCTATTAAGCCTTTGCCCCAACAGGGCAGGTGTCAAATAGGTCAGAGGAAGAAGGGATGGGTCTGGTGCCAGGTAGGATATGGCTGGACAGACCGGAGACAAGGTTGTGAAGCAGACTTAGCCAGTCTGGAAACCTCTCCATTTCTGGGGAGCAATCACACCTTTCTGGGGTGCTCTCTGTGCCCCTCAAGTTCTCAGGCAAATGTGAGTGCACATATAGCCTCTGGTGAGGAGTTATAATGACCCATATTTATTGCCCTGCATCAGAGCTTACCCATTCCCCATCCTGGGCTCACATCTCTCTTCTGGGCCCAAGTCTCGGGTTGAAGGATCAGACCACTAACATTGCTGTGGCTCACTGAGCTCGCAAATCCTCACTACAATTCTGGGAGAGAGAATTTATTGTCTCCACTTTGTAGATAAAGGAAACTAAGGTTCAGAAAGGTTAAATACCTTGCCCATCTCACATAATTAGAAAAAGTTAGCACTAAACCTTCTATCACTACCATCCTATGCTTTCTACAATTCCCTGTACTTTCCCAATTATCCATTACCAGGTGGAATTTCAGGGAATTTAGTTTTGGCTTAATATAACAATTTCATGCTTCCTGGAGCCATCGAATCTGGGTTGCCTTAGGCGGTCCTGAGGTCTCCTTCTCTGAGATGTGCAAGTGGAGGTTCACTGACCCCTCAGTAAAGATGCTGGTGAGGAGATTTACACAAAGAATCTGGGAGAGTGAACTAAATGAAACTGAGATCTCTCCCAGCCCCAGGTTTCTGTAATTCTGGGATCAATGACTTCTTTGAGTAACTATTAAGTTGATGAGTTGGAACCAGATTCAGCTGTGATAAAAAATCCAAGTAATTATGGCTTAAACAAATAGAGGCATATATTTCTCAGGAATAAGAAGTCTAGAGATTGGAGCACTGGCATTTTTTTGGGTGTTGGCAGCTCGATAATTCTCCTGACTTCACGGTTAGCAAATGCCTTCATAGCAGCTCCTAATGTCATAACCTCTCACCAAATTCGAAGTAAAGGGTGGGTGAGATAAAGGGTGAGGGCAGAGTCTTTCTCCTAGCATACCTTCTTTTCTTGCCCTAAAGCATTCAGGCAGACTTCTCCATATCTCTATGGCTACAACTAGGTCACCTGACCACCTCCAGCTGCAAGGGAGGCTGGGAAAGCAAGTATTAGGCAAAGGAAATGGGATTGCCATAACTGGCTCAGGCTAATTACGATCCCTCTCCCACGGTTGGGCACATACTACCCAAGCAATATTGGGGTTCAGTTAGCAAGGAAGGGGGTAATGGCTGGTAAGTGTCTGCTATACCTGGTTAGTGCTCAACCAGAGGAGCTTTCAACACCTTAACCCATTAGGGGTCTCAGGCCCTGAGGCAAGGGTGAGTCATACTCCTTGGTGCCCAGATTCAGCCCTGGGGGAACTCTGCATTCATGCGCTTCTTTATACATCCACTGAATAACTACAGTGCCCGGCACTGTGTTACACACTGTGGGGGACATGTCTCTAGTTTCCAAGAGTAGGGAGTTGGGCTCTGCAGAAGCAAGTGGCCAAGACTTCTGTTCCCCTTTATTAAATCTTATCCATTTGAAATAACTGAAGTGGTACTTGTTTTTCTACACTGAACTTGACTAATACAAGACGGCTGGATGAAGGGAGCACTTTATTGTTGTCGCTGTTGTTTAAATGCACTTCCTCTCACTGAGCCTTGAGCCCAGAGGAGTCACCATTTTCTAATTCACATAAAAATGTCCTAGAAGCTGTAGCCTTGCCATTGACATTTTCCACCCTAATAGACTACTTTCAAGAACTCCCCATCTTGCTGTAACTTTTTTCTAGACCTGTTAGATATTCAGCTATAGAAGCACGAATATTTGCAGCCTTGAATCCATAACAAATTCCTAATGCTGGCCCCTGGAGACCTATGCTGTCTAATATGGTAGCTATCCACATGTTGAGTACTTGACATGTGGTTCATCTGAAATGAGAAAAGTACAAAATACAAACTGGATTTCGAAGACCTATTATAAAAAAATAAAATCTCAAATAATTTTTACAATTTTGATTAGATTATAAATAAAATATGAAAATTGATTTCATCTGTTTCTCTTTAATTTTTAATATGGCTATTAGAAAATTCAAGATGATATCTGTAGACCACATTTTATTTTCATCGGACAGTGCTGCTGCAGATGCTTGATATCTGCTGCTTTTCAGCATCAGAGAATTGACTCTTCACCATAGCAGAAGCACAATCTTACACGTCAAAGTACTTTCTCCCCACAGTTTCTCTACATTCTGGCATCAGTGGCCTCTGCCTACCAATGACCACTTTTCCCGCAGGGGCAACTGAATATCCATGGATTGTGAAGGGGCCAGAATATGCCACAGTGGCATAAAAATTATTTTGAGCCAAAGACATGTGAGAATAGGCTTTTTTCTGAACTTCCGTATCTTATCTATAAGCAGAGCCTCCCAAAAGAACTCAATTGCCATAAATTCCCTCCTGGGGAATTTCTTTTAACCAGAGAAGATTTACTCATCACTGGAGAGAAGATATTTGCATCAATCTTAAATGGACATTGTCACAAAACTATCATATCTCCCATCTACTCTCCTAAGGGCCCATTTATCTTTCCTAAAAGTCATTGTTTTCAAATAAATGCCCCATTTCCCCCTCTTTTTCCCTTTTAAGAAGTCATTTTTCCAAAATTTCCTTCTCCTTCGCCCTACCCCAATTTAAATGGTATATAAGCCCCAAATTCTAACTGCCTCATTGAGTCACGTTTTTCTGTGAACTTTCTACATAAGTGAATAAAAATCTGTCTTTTCTTTTGATAATCTGTCTTTTGTCAGTTTAATTTGAAGATCCCAAAACATTGAACCTAAGAGGGTAGAGGAAAAGTTTTTCCTTCCCAATACTTAGAACCAGTTTAATCATATCAGTAACATTTTTTTTTCCTCGCTCCCCTTCTAACTTCTAAGATATTGGGTACCCTTGGAGGCTGGGTTTCCAGCCTGCAACCTCTCCTTTTAAGGTTGTTTAATAGATTTTCTCTAAATGGGGAGAGCTCATGTAACAATGGACTACAACAATACATATCTATCTGATGTAATATGTAACACTGTGTATCTGTCTGATAAATTTAGTACAGGATAACATATTCTAGCAAGGTATAGTTTACACTTGGCTACGATTTACAGGGGAGCACTCTAAGTACAACCACAACTTCTATCTCAACTGTTGGGCACTTGCATCATAAGCCTGAGGTTACACCAAATCCTGAGCCAATCCTTTTAAAGAAGCTCCTGGAATTGTCTTTCAACCAATGGGCTGCAACCCTCCCTGTCCAATATCCTCATTTGCATCTTTACTGACCAATCAGAACAATTCCATAATGACCACTCAGAATGCATGATTCCAACCAATCAGGACAGTATTATTTGGAACAATAAGATAGCAAATTTGGATTCTTAATTGCATAGAAATAGATCTATCAGGGACAGGGTTGGGAACTTTCTTCATAAAAGCAGGCCTCCCCTCTATTTCAGCAAAGCACACTTTTGGTTTCCTCTGGAGGCTGCATCTCCCTAGTTTGCAAACTGTTCATCTGAGTGAAGTTTCTCCTTTTACACACCCCAGATTCCGGACTCCTGCTGATAGTGGATCGGTGGCTACAAACTTTTGTCGCTAACCCCAAGCCCAAGAGAATCTCTTTCTGTTTCCTCCCTCATCCCCTCAGTACCTCCTCACTGCCCCAGGAACTTGTTCCATGCCCAGCCCAGGAAGGTCCACCCAGCTCTCAGCTCCAAGGCAGCAAACGTTGAAAGCTGTTTATTGCAATGGTGGTACATCATCCCTTCTTCCCTGCCCCTCCCCTGTTGGTAGGGGTCAGGGGCAGGACCACACAGTTCTGGGTAGACCCAGGAGTGGCTGGAGGAGGGGCAGGAGGCAAGGAAGAGGGAGCATTAGAAAAAACTTCTTAGCTGGCCTCTTTTCTTCAATTTTCTTACAACGGCCATAGACAATTTTAAATGATTTCTCAACCTTCAGAAACATACAAGTCAAGTCCGGCTGACAGGGACACTAATTATACAGGGCCAAGAATGTCTAGGAAAGCCAGGACCTTGACACTGACCTTGGCAGCTGCTCTGCCCTCAGCCCTGGGGTGCAGCCCTCATTTTCACCCCAACCCAGCTCTGGGGCCCATCTGCTTATGCACAGCGGAGGAGCCAGAGCACAAAGGAACCCCTCATCCAACTGTCAGAGCTTGTGTCTTTGGTTGCCTCCTCCAGACTGACCCCTAAGTTTACTCAGTACCCTCCTATCTCTTCCCCTAAATCTTTTTTTGAGCAAATCAATCCCCCTCTCCTGCACACCCAGCTCAGAGGCTGCCTCCGCCCACTTCCCACCAGGAACACCTGGGCCGCAGCAGAACTAGGGGCTGGAGGAGAGGGGGAAGTCTGAGGCAGAGTAGAGCTATGGTTAGGGCCAGACCATGTAGCTGTGCCCATTTACTGTGCTACTTTCGGGGTCTGCTGAGATGACCCGTGGAGAAGAGGAACCTTGTTAGAAAGGAAAGCATTGCCGCACCTCATAACCTCATCCAGGATTCCAAGCCCTTTGGATGGGGACCCACCTTGGGTCTGTCATCAAGTGTCCCCTGGCCCCAGGAGGCTTGGAGATGCAGTAGCAGCAGAGAATTCCCAGCTCTGGGTCTTTTCCACCCACTTACCCTTCCCTCCTTCCCTGGGCTCTGGGTACACCCTGTCTCTCCCTTTCTGTGTGT